ATGGTTCAAAAATGAATTTATAGACTGTACTGTTTTTACTTCTGCATCATTTAAACTCACATTCTTCAGCAAATAATCTTCAAACATACATTCTTGAAATTGATGCCATAATATTTTTGGATCGTCGAAGAACAGAGAGCTAAAATAGTTGCAATTCATAATTATCATTCATTCTAACTAAACATTCTAATAATGCAGCTTCATGAAAAGTTTTTTAAAAAATGCCATTAACAAATTTGAGGCCTTCAAAAGATAGAGGTCCTCTAATGTGATTCAATAATATTCGTTGGTAATATCTTTCACCTTTACCTGGACTTGCTGATACAATTCTTCTAATCACAACACCTTTTTTTCTTTCTAATAATCCGGCATTTTCATTGTCCATCCCACACAAAATGTTCAGGAAATTCTCTAAGTAACAATTTTCTTGTGTCTTCATTTGTAACATTCATTATAAAAAATTCAGTTAACATTATTTTTTGAAGAAAAGATTGTCTGACAACTCTAGGAAGATCATCAGTATTTTTATATGTAATTAATTGCTGATTTTGTCGATGTAACTATAATGAAATAACAGTTGGACACATTTCATACATAGTAAATCCATAGATCTTTCACATTGCTTTAGGCAGAGAGATCCATCTACCACCAGACTGAAATTTTTGTATTTCATCTATACTATCAAATCCATTGTTAGTGTTCACAGAGAAATTCACTGTCATGTCCTTTATAAATATATTTGTAAAAATATTTAACATCTTTTATTGTTGAACATATTTTGACATTAATATGACTATTATATTTAGTTAATAGATAAGAATTATAAGGCACAACCCACCTATTATCAAGGAAGTGTTTTCTAACTTTAACTTTTTTACCATCTTTACATCTTCAATATTTAAGGAAAGATTTTTCATCCAAAGAAGTGTGTGCATTGTATTTATGTGGATAATGACTTCTACATATTCTACCATTTTGCATTCACACATTGTTTGGATTTAAAGAAGCACAAGGACTATGCATCATGTGTTTAACAACAATCGAATGTAAATAAGGATACTCTGTATTATCTGAGATTTCGGCACATACTATCTTGTCCACATTTTCAGGAGAAATAATTTTGGAACCTGAGTTAAGTATAATTAGAAAGTGAGCATTTGGTAAATCTCTTTTTTGAAACTGTATAACATATATATGTGTGTGTGTGTGTGTGTGTGTGTGCAGCCACTGGTCCAACTAACCGTTTCTTGAATAAATATGTTTTTAACTCTTCTAACTTTGTTCTAAAAACTCATGAGACCAAATCAAGTCTGTTTTGAACTTCATCATAATACTTTAGTTCTTGCTTTTTTCAGGCCAATTCAAATTGCATGTAATAGTTAAAAAAATATCAGGCTTTCCAAATTTCTGAACCAATACCATAGCATCCATGTATCTATTATTCAAATCCCTAAGACGACCAATGAAGGAAGATGATAAAATAATCATCTTACCTATATTAGATCCTCTAGTTATACCATTTTGTACGCTATCAACAATTCCTTGATAAAGCTCACTATGTATCCCTGTTTGATTGTTATGGAAGTAATTCAATCTAGAAGATTCAACTTTAAAATAAATGTCAACCACATATTGTTGGAAAAGCCAACCAGCATGTAATAACATAGAGCTATCTAATGACCTTACCTGTATTTTATAGCAATAATACTCACGACAGGAGACTTGGCATCATTTTCATTTCTTTGGCAGGACTGAATATGCACTTAAAGAAATTAAATGCCAACGAAAAATGCAACTAAAATCTTATAACAAATCAATAACTCATTTTTCAAACATGTCATTTCATTGTTTAGTAATTCCTGTGGAGAATCAACATAATCTGCACCAATCAACAGTTCTATACAAGAATTATTACCATGCTTATGTAATTTATTTACTCTTTGTATGCCCTGATGCCAACCATACTCAACATTAGGAAATAATAAAGGGTTGATAAGAGTGTAAAATATAATATCTTTTCCTCTTAATTATTGTATTCGTGTAATTATTTGATACCAAAATATACTCGTTATACTTATACTTTGATTCAGATTGCATTTTAGTAGAAAATGTGAAATTTAGAAGAAAAAAGCAAAAAATGACCAAAATGAAACAAAGTGAAAGTTTAGGGACCAAGTTGTAAATAATATAAAGATGAGACGGGCAATGGAATGATGATTTGAGAAATCTAGGAGTCCATTTGATGTAATTAGAAGTCAAAAGAAGTTAAATATGATCATAACATATTCACAAATTAAATTCCAACCGCATAAAGATTTTCTAAATTTTCAGCTGGAGATTGAAGTCCACTTTTGACCCAGTAAACGTTAGAATTTGGAAAAAGCTATTTCAGAAAAATTCTAGTCCTTTGTGTTATCTTTTCAACTCACTTTTAATTACCTTAATTGGACATCGAGAGAGAAAGTTATGATTAAAATACTGAAAGTAGTCGCATAGAACAATTTTTGGCTTAGTTTCCTAATTCTGTTCAAACTCTTATGGTAACTTGATCTCCCACGAATTTGAAGCCCTAAATCACCCCAAAACAAGGAAGAACGCCCCCCAATCATCTCGGATCCATTTTCTCTCATCTTGGGCACAATAACTCCATGGAAGTCTAAATATTTTGGTGAAGCCACGAATGATCTTGATCGGATTTGGGGATTTTAACATCTTTTCATTTATGTAACGTGCTTTTCATTGTCAAATAATTCTAGGATTTAGATTTCTACCTTATTATACTTTTGAAGTTTGTTTAGCTTTTTATTAGATTGTTCATGGATTCAATTATATTTTTTCCATTGAATGACGAAAATATTTGTTGGTGTAATTGATCTATTTCTTATTAGATTTTTCATAGAGTTAGTCATACTCTTTTTATAGTTTGATCGAATATTTATTGAATTCCAATTTAAAATAATCTCATTGGTGTGATTCCTTACTGCTTACGCTCGATGTATATGGTCGCTTTTAAATCTAATTTCAATAGATTAAGTGGGAATGTATTATAGGAACCTAAATTTTTTAGTAAGATACATGAATGATAGGTGTTGATTGATCTAATCTAGAAGAGAGAATTCCGATGCTTCACTAATCTCGCATATTGATAATTGAATCTCATTCTAATTGACAAATTATTTTCACATAATTTATGAAATTCTAGTTCGATAAATCCTTTAAATAATTCATCCATCTCCCTGTGGAATTGACACCCCAAAGCTGTACTACAACTACCGCGTTACGCTTTGGGCGTAATCAAATTTTGGCGCCATTGCCGGGGAGACGGTACAAATACTTGAAAGATTCTTGAGCAAAGGGTGACTTCATCCCTTTTTACATTCTTTTAGTTAGTTTTCTTAATTATTTTGTTATTTCTCATTTAGTTTCATTTTTTTTTGTGTGTGTTTTATGAACAGGCTTCGAGATGAGCAAGGGCAATTTATTGCGAGGCCTCAACTAGTGTTTAAATCTCATCCTATCTCTTTGTTTGATACTGAATCTATTGCCATGAACACCACATCATATAACACAATATCTGATAGTGAGCATGGTGATGCGCCCTATAGGACCTTGCATGATTACCTTCATCCCACACAAACATCTACACCATCATGCATCATGTTTCTACTTAACATGCCCACATATGGACCTAAAATCGGGAATGATTCAACTTCTTCCCAATTTTCATGGTTTTGAAAGCAAAAATCCATACGTGCATATTACGGAGTTTGAGGAGGTGGTGGCAACCTTCCACAGTCAACATGGTACTTTGGATGTAGTCATGTTAAAAATTTTCCCATTTTCACTCGAGGAATGAGTAAGAAGCTAGTTGTATTCACTGTGATCACGTTTGATTGGGACTTGGGCTGAAATGACCTAAGCATTCTTTAGCAAATACTTTTCCCATCATAAAACAACTGCTTTAAAAAAATAAATTTCTTCTTTTGTCCAAAAGGACAATGAAACTTTATATTAAGCACGAGAAAGATACAAAGAATTGCAAGCTCTTTGCCCCCACCACGGTTATGAAAGTTGGCTAGTTGTGAGTTACTTATATGAGGGATTATTACCTAGGGAGCGCCAGTTTGTGAAAATGATGTGTAATGGTGAATCTCTACAAAAAGATCCAGATGAGGCTATAGAATACTTAGATAACTTAATCAAGAAAGCCCGTACCTAGACTGGACCTAGTGCCATTGAGAGTACTAATAGGTCACGACCTACCGAAAACATCACTAGCACAGGCATTTATCATCTTAGGAAGGAGGATGATCTTAGAGCCAAGGTAGATGCCCTTACTAAAGAACTCAAAATCTTACGTGTTAGGGACTCAAAGCTTACACAGAATGCATCCCATGTTGAATTATTAGGACCGTGTTTTGTTTGTGGTGGAACTGATCATCCAGCTTAAGGGTACACTACCTACGCTGAGATAATGGAAGTTTATGAGGAACACTATAATGCTCTAGGCATTAATCAAAAGCCATGTACCCCTTATCCCGAGACTTACAACCCAGGGTGGCGAAATCACCCCAAAACTGCCCAATCAATAAAGCTTACAATGTACCCTTACGTCAACCCACATTCTCTAGGAACTCTTTAGAAGATACTTCACATTCATTTATTGAGGCACAGGGTAAAACAAATAAAAAATTTGAGACTATGATTGGCTAGTTAGTTGAGAAAAATAAAGAGATAAAAAATCATGTGTCCAAACTAACCAATGCCTTAACTTTAGGGGAACATGGAAAATTTCCAGCTTAAGCTCAACCAAATCCAAAGGGACAACACATGTCACAAACTTCATGATCGGGAGAGACCAACTTTAAAGAAGTAGTAGCCATAACCACTCGATCTGAGAAAGTCATTGAACCAGCCCTCAATCTAGGGAGAATGAAAAGGACCCTAGTAATTCAGAAGAGAGTATCCCTAGTGAGGAGATAGTGAAAAATTAATCTAGAATGCCTTTCACTCAAGCTCTCAAGTTCACCTCAAAATCTGTCGGCCAATATAGTGAAATCCTTGAGCATCTAAAACAAGTAAAAATCAATCTACCTCTCCTACATATGATTTCCCAGGTTCCTACTTATGCTAAAGTCCTAAAAGACTTGTGTACTGTGAAGAGGAAACACCATGTCAAGAAAACTACTTTCTTGACTAAACATGTGAGTGCTGTCATTGAGCAAAAGATCCCACCAAAGTATAAGGACACTAGTTGTCCTACTGTCTCTTGCATCATTGGAAACCATGAGATTTCACAAGCCCTTCTTGATTTAGGGGCTAGTGTCAATATCATGCCGTATAATATTTACTTGTCATTAGGGCTAGGAGAGATGAAACCCACATCAGTAAGTTTACAATTGGCTGATCGATCCACTATTAAGTCTAGGGGAGTAGTTGAGGATGTGTTCGTACAAGTTGACAAATTTTACTACTCTGTTGACTTCTTGATTTTGGACCTAAAAGTTGATGTAAATGTTAACTCCAAAATTTCCATAATTCTTGGTAGACCTTTTTTTGCCACGGCTAATGCTCTTATCAATTGCAGGAATGGTCTAATGAAACTATCATTTGGGAACATGACCCTGGACATCAACATCTTTCACATCATGAAGCAACCTGAGGAGGATGACGAGTGTCATCAAACATTCATGATTGATGCACTCGTTTAAGAGGAAGCACCTGCAATTATTGACCCCAACCCTTTAAAATCTTTTTTTTTTTAATTCTGAAATTCTAGCAAGGTATGATGATGGGGAATATGCTAATATTTGTGTTGCCTTTGACGATTTGCAAGATTGTGGAACATCACCAGCGATTATTTTCACTGAGTTTGGTGCAATGCAAAGAGTGTTGACAATACACTGGCTGGATGCGGGCTAAAGAAACAAACAATGGGTTGAGCCAATGACAATAAAAAAAGGCACTGCTTGGGAGGCAACCCAATAGGAGTTATTTTCCCTTCTTTTATCTTATTTCTGCATTTGTTAGGTTTATTGGCATCTCCATGCATTGTTCACTACATTCTAGTTTATTTTTATTTTCTGCATCACCTTTTCCATTGAAAACTTTTAGTTTCTTATACTTCAGCTTATGCGATTCATTTCGGCACTCAGGTGACATCTTTCCTTACCTTTATTTGGCAGACATATTTTTGCATTGAGGACAATGTAGTGTCTAGTTGGAGGGAGAGTTTAACTTAAATATTGTTGTGAATTGCATGATTTACATGGAATTTTGGTGTAAATTTTTCCTTAAGTCTCTATTTGCTACATGTTCATATTCTTGAATGACAAAATATGCCATTAGAAGTTGATATTGTTCATGTAAGTCTAGATGTTGAGATACTTGTTGAATCATTTTGTGCACACAAGTCTTGTGGTATAATAGTGGTTTAACACATGTAGTTAGAGGAGTCTCTTACTGAAGTTTTCTTATGAGAGAATTGGTAAAGATTGAGAGTCATATATACTAATAAGTATTCATTGATTTTATGAATTGGAAACTTCTTCTGAGAATAACATTACATGGTATGTGGTAAGATGGTGGATTATACTTGGGAAATGATAATAGTCAATTTAGGACTGAAGTTGAGCCTTCAGACTAGTTCGTCTCTTTTCATAATTATAATCTCTTAGTAGCCACTTTGAGCTAATACACATATAACCATTTCTTTTCATGCGCCTATGTTATCCATACCTTTTCAAATCGGAATAAAGTCTATAAACATTCATTTTTCAAACATTTATGCTTCCCAAGTGTATAGTAGGTATTGAATGTCATTTGAGAAAAAAAGCAATGAAGAAAAGTGATAAGAATTGATAAGCACACAGGTGAAGTGATGAATCTTAAAAGAAGAAGAAGAAGTATTTAAAAAAAAATTGCTAAAAGTTGATGAAAAAAAGGTGAATTGCCGTTGAGAATTGAAAGATTGAGGAATGCATTGTTGTCAATGATTGATATGTTGAAATACTTGTTGAGATGCCTAGCTTGATATTTGGAAGTCCTTAAATTCTTTCTGCCCTACTTTACATGTAACCCAAATTAACCCTTTTCACACCCTTTGCATTGGCTGTTTTGATCTTAAGTAGGGTTGTGGTAAGAAGTTGATGAATTCTCAGTTGATAATGTGCCTATCATGTGATCAATATTTACTTGTTGCTTGTTCATAAATTTTAAGCCTCCATGTTCTGAGAGTATATCTTTCTTAACTCCATAAGAGAAAATCGCACTAAACACTTTGATATCCATGAGTTATAGGGTTGAACCTTCAGCTTGAGACATACTTATTGTTGCATGTGTTAGGGTTGGTGGTAAAATGGCTATGGCTTGACAAACACAGACACACATTTGGCAAGTGTTTTTGATATCTTGATGATCATGGCATTGTCAAGTTCTTGTGGTGTTGAATGTGAAAAGAACATGAAATGTGGTTAAATTGATACTTAATAATTTTACTTGTATCACTGTCTAATCGCTCGTTTACTTGTTCTGCATTGAATTGTTAAGAACTAGCAATAAGCAAGTTGGAGGGTGTGATACGAGTGTAAAATATAATATTTTTTCCTCTTAATTATTGCATTCGTGTGATTCTTTGATAATAAAATGCACTCATTATACTTATACTTTGATTCATGTTGTATTTTAGTAGAAAATGTGAAATTTAGAAGAAAAGAGTGAAAAATGACCAAAATGGAAGAAAATGAAAGTTTAGGGATCAAATTACAAATAATTTAAAGATGAGACGGGAGATGAAATGATGATTCAAGAAAGCTAAGAGTCTATTGGATGCAATTAGAAGTCAAAACAAGTTAAATATGACCATAACATATTCACAAATTAAATTCCAACTGCATAAAGATTTTCCAAATTTTCAACCGGAGATTGACGTCCACTTTTGACCCAGTAAACGTCAGAATTTGGAAAAAGCTATCCACCAAAATTGTATCCCTTTGTGTTAGCTTTCCAATGCAATTTCAATATCTTTAATTGGATATCAGGAGAGAAAATTATGGTCAAAATACTAAAAGTAGTTGCAAAGAACAATTTTTGGCCGAATCTCTAGTTTCCTAATTCCGTTCAAACTCTTACGGTAACTTGATCACCCACGAATTTTAAGCCCTAAATCACCCAAAATAAGGGAGAACGCCCCTAATCATCTCGGATCCATTTTCTCTCATCTTGGGCATAAGAACTCCATGGAAGGCTAAATATTTTGGTGAAGCCACGATTGATCTTGATCGGATTTGGGGATTTTAACATCTATTCATTTATGTAACGTGCTATTCATTGTTGAATAATTCTGGGATTTAGATTTCTACCTTATTATACTTTTGAAATTTGTTTAGCTTTTATCAAATTTTTCATAGATTCAATTATGTTTTTCCATTGAATGACGAAAATATTTGTCGAATTTAAATTTGAAATGATTTATTGATGTGATTTGATTACTGTTTTATGCTTGAGGTATATAATAGTTTCTTGAATTGTATTTCAATAAATCAAAGAGGAATATGTTCTTAGGAAGCCTAAATTCTAGAATTATAAGTGAAATTAAATTGATCTAGGTTTTCTTCATGAATTGGTTTTGAAGTGGTTTAACTCTTATTAGATTTTTCATAGAATTAGTCATGCTCTTTTTATAGTTTGATCGAATATTTATTGAATTCCAATTTAAAATAATCTCATTGGTGTGATTCCTTACTGCCTTATGCTTGATGTATATGGTCGCTTTTGAATCTGATTTCAATAGATTAAGTGGGAATGTATTATAGGAACCTAGATTTTTTAGTAAGATACATGAATGATAGGTGTTGATTGATCCAATCTGAGAGAATGAATTCTGATGTTTCACTAATTCGCATATTGGTAATTGAATCTCATTCTAATTGACAAATTATTTTCACATAATTCACGAAATTCTAGTTCGATAAATCCTTTAAATAATTCTTCCATCTCCCTGTGGAATTGACACCCCAAAGCTGTGCTACAATTACTGCGTTATTCTTTCGGCGTAATCAAGGGTGCTAGAGAGGGTCATAAAATTGAAAATAATAGTGTACTTTATGTTTGTTATCAGAATAAGCATAAATAGATATATCACGATTTCCAACATTGTGTGATGTTGCATCATCTACCAAAAAAGCAGCAACTTATGATGTCATTAGAGCATTGTAAACTCTTTGATCCATACTTAAAGTCGATATAATTTTCATATGATGACTTAGTAAATCAGGAGTATTAGTTAAATTTCGAAAAAAGTTTGCGTAAGGATTAATTTGTAAAATGTGGAGTAATTTCTCAATAATTGATTGAGATAATTAATTTGATATTTTCAATTGATTTTCTATCTTATTTTCAGTATCGTAAAAATAAAGTTGCAATTAAAAAGGCTTAGAATATATTGGAAGAAGATCATTTAGGTAATCATATATTTGTTCTTGAATTCTAAAAGTATATATTCATTTGTTTCTCCTGCATAAGTCTTTATCATATTTTTCACCAAATTAAGTAAATGAAAAATTACAATTGTAAGTTTAGATTTAAGTCCTAAATTCAATCGATTTATCAGATGGTGAAGTAAATAAATCATACAATTCTGTAGATATATTATTCATTTTTAATTGAATGGTTCCACCACAACAGCATAAACCTTTACTTCCTCTTTTATATTTCTTTGCACCATAGTAATTATAAACTGTTGGCAAAGTTAACAAATAATACTCAGTTGGAATCTACAGTAAAACTCTGTCTATTACTTCATCAACACTGAAGGATTGACAAACGGGATTATCTAAAATAGGCATAAAATGGGGAAAAATAAGAAAGATTGAAATTGGAAAAAAAGTATAAAAAGACAGAAATTAAATTAAGTAGAAATAACATACAACTTGCAATTTACCGCAATCCATAAACTTAGCGCAAGCAACATGGAAAAAAAAAATAAAGTGAAAGCATACTTCACCTATATCTATTTCTTCATCAACACTACTAAATCCCTCAGATCAACAAATGGGATTATCTAAAAAAAGCATATAAAAAAGCCAAATATAAGAAAGATTATAATTGAAAAAAAAAATATATAAAAATGCAATAGAAATACCTCTTCTTTACATTGGTACATCCCGAAATCTTAATGCTCATGTCTACATTTCCAGTCGACGTTTTTGTCTCAATTCTCGTGCTTGGGCGTATAGTTGTTGACTTTGCAAATTTCAAGATTTTTTTTGTTGTAGAATCCATTATGCCAACAACTAAACACGAAAAGAAAACAACTTCTCACATATTATATACAAAAAATTTGAATTTTTGCCTTTAGTCATATCCACACAACCAAAAGCCAGCTCGCATTGCACCAAGATGGGTCTACATCGTGGAGGGGTTGTTCGTGCTGCTCTAAGTAGCATGAAGCTAATGCTCTGTGAGAAGGAGAGGCTGGACGGATTTATTGCTATGTTGCTGCACGAAGTAGCTTTGTGATGCACAAAGCTCTAGCTCCATGCACCTGGATGGAGCTTTGCTTCGTGCAGCTGCACTTTCAAAAATATGAGTAAAATTCATCATTTTAATATGCTTCAATATTTTAGGCGATTTTGTATATATCTATCTAAAATTAGCCAACTTCATCCAGACTTCTCTACCAATTCAAATCAAACTAAATTATTAAATTTTC